TAATTTTGTCAATTTTGTGTATGCATCAAGCGCCGGGTGTCCCCTCAGAGGAGCGCCTAGCGGTAGATGAGTAGAAGCAACGGAGCTGGATCCCTCGCCAGACATCCATTCGTAACGTAAGGGTGCCAGCCAGGCAAAGGTTCCTCCAAAAAATAAAATAAAACTGTTGCCGTCGCAGCCGCCGCTGTCGTCGTCGTCGTCGTCGTCGTCGTTGCTGCCGGTAAACGTAGTGTTTCGGTTTGCTCACGTTGCCCGATGTTCGTGCTTTACCGTGACTCTACGGCCACGACGACATGCGCGCTGTCGGTGCTTTCCCGAGCAGCATTACTTCATGACTGAACATGTGTCCGGACTTGTCTGCTGGCGCTGCTGCTGCTGGCGCCGCTTCGGGAGCTTTGTGTCACGGCTTCGTGTGCGTGTGCTTGTGGGTGTGACTGTGACGGCAACGAAGTGCACGGCGTAGATAACAACGGGACAGACACTGGGATAGAGCGTGTGTGGGGCCCTGCTGCTGCTCCTCCTCTGAAACACTCGAGCCGGGCGGCACATCAACATCTAAGGATGCAGCAAACATTTTTGTGATATTGCTCAAACGTTCAAGTGACCAAATAAACGTGTGGGAGCTGCCACTCAGGTGAGGCATTTGAAAGAATGCCCATTAGCCCATGACAAGACGCACATGTACGAACGGGCCACGTTAGAGAAATTGGCGAAAGGCACAGAGCAACAGCGACAGCAGCGGCGAATGACACAAGGAAGACAGTGACAGGTGGTGGGCAGGGGAAGGGAGGGACACTCAGCGAGGCAGTCTCTTCTTAGAGAAGGACACGCCAGCACTAAACATTTGAGAAGCTTTTAAGCGAAATGTCTTATTGATGACCAACCGCTTGAAAGTAGGCAATAAATGTCGGCTTACGAGTATCTTTAACATCCTTTTCTAGAGATGATCTAAAAGAGTTCTGAAAGTCCTGACAAGACCAGACCACAACCAAAAAATGATCATTAAAGTGTATTTAGTTTTTTCTTACCTAATTTAAAAAATGAAAATTATAACAAATATATTTTAAATAATTTAAGATATAAAAAAATAAAATAATAAACAATTTCTCAATATTTGTAGCCCATATGTAATTCGATAATAACATCCGATGCCACATAAATGTCCTCCAAATATATCGAAATCTATCCCACTGTTCCCGCATAGAAACTCGACCAAAAATCCAACAGAAAATGAAATAAACCCGAAACCGAAACCCCAAAACCCCAACACCACCCAAAACACAAAAGAAAGAGCGAGCGGGATGGTGACAGCGCAGCCTGTCTCTCTGCGTTTTCAGTCTCTCTTAGTGAAGGCAATAAATATTGAAAATATATTAAGAGAATCAACTTAATGCCTGACTTTGCCGCCGAAAGAGAGCGACAGCAACAGCAACAACATAATCAAACGGGAACAAAGAAGAGCGAAAATAAACAAACATTGTGGGGTCTTCCGTCCCCCTAACCATCTCATAGATAATGCGGTGGGACAAACACGAAGAGTATTTCGTGTTTGGCAATCAGTCGCAGGTGTTTCGTAGAATTTAAGTGTGCCACGAGAGTTAAGCGGGTGGCGGGATTTACCTCCCACAGAGGGGGAGGCAGAGAGCCAAACGAGTACGTGGTATAGAATGTAGCTGAAGATATGTGCATATGTTTTTCCCTTTTCCACCTTTCTTAATTATTGGATAGGGATGGTTTTGGTATTTATGTAGATAATTGCCGTGTTTATTGCTGCGTGAAATATGAACCCCCTATATCATACAAATTATGGACAATACAATCCGACAAATCCATAGAGTCCAGAGCAAAGCTTTTACTATAATTAAATTAAGAATTCAATGGAGAAATTTCATGTGTGGAAATACTCAGAGTCCGCAGCAAGAAGCTCCCAATAGATATTCACCTTGGGCAATGTTTCTTTACAAGATTTCCCTGAGATTACGCGCGACTTCCTTCCGATAAGACAACTACTGAGATATGACCCACATTCTGACGGAACCCTCAAGAAATGTTGACCCACATTGATTGTCTGTGTTTGTGCCTCCCCTCAAAAATATGTCTAAATAAAACGCGTGGAAAACCAACAACGTTATTTTTTAAGTAAACATTTTGTTTGCCCAGAAAGAGAGTGCGAACGAAAGACACACAAAAGTAGGCAACACAAAAGCGTCAAGCAATTAGCAGCAGCAGAGCAGCAGCAGAACGCCAGCGGCTACGTAAACGTCAACAGACAACAACAAGCGAAGGCCATCGTTGGGATAACGAAGCTTTTGATACCCTTTAAGATTATTTGTTGATAAATAGATATATGATGGAGATATGCATATCATTTCTTCGATAATAATCTGCAGTGTTTCCCCACAAATATTTGTTTTTCAATTGATTTTTCCTGTGGGAACTATATGAGAAAGTGATCAGACGGTTGCGTCTTATACACTACTTCCAGTAAAAATAAGGCTATACGATAAGTTTGTGTTAAAAAAGGATTTGCAGAGATATAGAAGAACAAAAGGGGCCAATCGACAGTTGACTAGGTAGATAGGTTTATGCAAAAAATCATAATACCCTTTGCAAGCATATATATGGCAGCAACAATCGAAAACGACTATTTTACACCTTTGGAATGCCCTTTGGGCGCCACAGGGAGATGCCACAGAGAGAGGAGCGCGATGAGAAGGGATTGGTAAAGGCAGGAAGGGTGTATGCGATTGTAAAGAGGAGCCCCCAAAAGAGAGAGAGAGCCACACAGAGAGGCAACATGTGGCTGCTAAGTGGTCGTGAATGGGGAGACCCCCACCATCACATCATCCTCGTTCCCAAACAAACGGGAAAAAAGGACCTTTCCCCTATGTCATTATTGTGAGCGGCTCGAGGGCGGTGCGTCACTGCGGGGCGGCTTCCTGTGTGTCAGATGGCACCCTAACATTTCCGCCCAAAGTTGTATTTACATATAAAATATACGTGGTATATTTTTTGTGTGTGTTTTCCTTTATTCAAATGTCCTTCATGATCATCGTTTTAGTTTATTACTGTAAAGGTGCAAAGCGGGCCATAAAAAAAAGGGTATCTTGATGATTCTGAGGAGATTGCCAAAGAAGGAAGAGTGAGAACAGTAAGGAAAGAATGGAAATTAAAAGATAATTTTTTTTTCATGGGAACGAGTCCAGAATCCCGTCGGTGTAATGAAGATATTACATCCTAACATTTAATATTAAAATTGTAGCATCAGATGATAAATATACATATGTACATATATATAAACATATAATATATATATATATATTCCACAATTGCGATCGATCTGAAAAGCTATTTATCTGCAAATAAGAGCATCCACATTTCGTTCGTTCTTTGCATTTCCGTTTTTGTTTCTTTGAGTTTTGTGGGTGTGTGTGGCCCCTTTTTTCTCTCTTTCTCTTTTCTCTCCAATTCCCAATGGGACTTTTATATGTAAAGTATGTCATTTTGGCAAATTCATTTCATGTCTGTGCGCCAGGTGCTTGTTGGTGTGCTTGTGACTGTGTCTGTGTCTGCCTCTATGTGTGTTTTCCCGGGAATTTTCGGCCCGGAAACTTTTGTGTCTGCCATTTTTGTGGTATTGCTGCTGCCTTTTCCTGTTGATGTATCACCCACCACATCTACATATACCTATATTTCTAAATGCTGTTTCCTAAACATTAATTTTTATTGCTGCGCTTGCGCTTTAAAGTATTTAAATTTAGTTAAATTTTCTTTTTAAATTATAAATTATTTAAGTCTTAACGATATATATTATATAAAAGAGCCCACCAGCTCAACAAAATAATTAAATCAACTTATTTTGCAACTTTTAACCTATCATACACATAAATTTTCCTCAGGATGCAGTTTTAATATTCTTTTGACTATTTTTAGATTCGATTTAAAAAATCATAGGAAAAATGTATATTTATTATTAATATTTAATAATTCGATGACAGGTAAGAAATAAATTCACAAATTCCAAACGAATTTTTCTTTTGTTTATAAGAGTTTAGCTAAGCGCAGAGCAGCACTAAAAGCTCATTGATACGAAATTTAGTCCTTACAAAAAAAAGATTCATGTCCTGGCTAACAAGATTGTTGTATGTGCTAAGATGTGTGTTCTAAAATCAATTGGTTGCTGTCTATGAGGCTGCATACAATAGCTAAATTGAAACAAAAATTCGGAAAAATTCGAATGATTTCATTTTAGAAAAATTACGGAATTGTGGATATATGTTTAAGGCACTAGTGCATTAAATTATTATAGCACAGGGGCAGTAAAATAGCTCAATAAGGGAAGTTCATTGAAAATTCTGAAATATTTTGAACTCTTTACTGTCGAAAAAGCTTGAAGAACTGCATATTTTATTTAGATATTTATTTATTCAAACCAGAGTCAAGTGAATAGAGTGGAAGAAAAATATAATATAATATATAAAAATATAAATAAAAGCATTTTAGGCATCATTCAATAGACTGCTTTTAAATTAGTTGCAAACTCACGTAATTTCTCACAAAAATTATCTTTCATGTTGTCTTCAATATGTACAATTATTTTTTCAATAAATATTATTATTTGTATTCTGATGATTATTGTAATCAGAATAATACTATTATTCACTTGAATTGATTTAATATTCCCTGCAACAATATTCAATCTTCCTTTTAACAAGAAAAAAATCACGATACACCGCTTTGAAATGCCAGCAAGCAACTAAAGGACTTTCGCCCCAGTCAGGACCTCCCCTCAGAGAAGTTTTCTACTCGGAAAAATATGAAATAACAAAATAGCAACAGTCCGTTCGGCTGCTCCTGTTGATAGGCAGGTGGTGGCCGCCTTTAGTGGAGCATAATTATTGATAAAACAAGCCTAAGGATATTCGAAGGATATTTATGAATGAAGTGGAGCGAAATTGATTTTAAATGGCTTCGAATCAGGCAAAAATGAGAGCACTTACCTCGCGACGTTGGATGATTCATTAGTATCGATAGGGGGCACTCATCGTCGTCGAGTATGTACTCAGTTCCATCGCTGTTGACCTGTGGGAATGGCAAAAGGAAAGATTAAGATTATAGAACGAACATTTTCAGAGCCTTTTAGGTATACAGAACATTTTTTCCCTACAGAATACTTATATTCTATGAGTTTATTCTCGGAAAAAAAAGTATTCTATGCCAGAAACAATGCCATCTCTCATGTATAGCTTTAAGATTTCCAGTTCGTATGCCACTTATAGTAGGAAATACTTTTCTAAACATCGATTTCTGGTTTAACTTCCGATATCCTTTTTTATTCCATAATATAATACAACAAGTGTCGCTTGGACGACACCCAGCCGTAACTTGTTACGGATCCCAATGGGAAACTCAGAACACATCTCGTCCAAGCAGGGGGGAGGAGCTGCCGCATCAGGACGTATCACACGTGAAGTATGAATGCCAATAATCAAATTGATTGAAATAATGTTCAAATTTAACTTTAACAAGAGTTGTGGATACAACTTTCAGCTGATTTTCTGCGCATAAAACTTTGGCAAAATAGGAAATAAAAAATCTTTGAATAAACTTTACTATGCAGACAAACATAATGTCTGAAAGTGTAGGCATATCTTTACAAACAATCTTCGATTGCGGTGTCCTTTTTAAAGATTATGGTACTATTTGCAATTTCCTTTTTCGCTACATTTAAGCAGTATCAGACCCCCCCAAAACGTTTCCATCTATAACCCCGATTCACTCTCTACTCCTCTAAATCTTAAATCCGCACCTGAACCAAACAATAATGCAGTGGATCCGCCTTTTCCAGTCCGTATTTGGTGAGCATTTCCCTGACAACCGCCTGGGCGCAGTCGCGAATGGACAGCAGCAGCGTCTTGTAGGGCACATCCTGGCACAGGCTCTCGCCGTAGATTTTCAGTGTGCCTCCCGTGTCGGGTCCTCCGTCTCTGGATCGGAATTGCTGGAGTTTTTTCTCCAGTTTCTGCTGTCGCCTTCGCCGCATTACGGCCTCCGGATTTGAGATCGATCGCGTGAACGACGTTTCCGGCAGTTCCGTGTAGAGTTTCCCGGCCACAGCATCGCTGCCATCGGGCCCACTGCCACCCGCATTGCCATTCATGTGGGAGGAGTTGGAGCCCGATCCAATGCCGTTGCCCAGCCCCAGCTGGCTGCCATTTGCAGTGGGTGGATCGGAGCTGAGTTTGGCCATCTTTTCCTTCTTTTTCTGCTCCTTCTTTTCCCGTTTAGAGAGCTTCCTCTTGAAGTTCAGATCTGTTTGTTCGATGGGCTGTTGGGATGAGGACGATTAAAATGGGTTCTGCGTGGGGTTCCTGGCCATACAATACTCACTGTGGTCTTCTGGTCAATGTTCTTGAGCAGGAAGCGACCCTCCCGGTCGTCTATGTGCCAATTGAGTTGCACCAGAAGGGGCTTCTCATCGGCATTGAGGCGCCTCTCCTCTCCATTGGCATGCACCTCGTACAGGGCGTAATTGGGCACGGATAGCATTCGCATATCGGGACGGAACTTCTCAATCAGGGTGTCTATGGATCACAAAGATAACATGAACATTAGATAGAGTGACATCTTGGGGAGCTCTAAGCCATTGCCCACCTATGACATCTGTGACGGTGGCATCGGAGGCCACGCGTATGCATTTGGTGGCCACTTTCTGGCCGGCATCTTGAAAGTAAAACCGCATAACGCCATGGAAGAGCAGGTTCTATAAGGAAGGAAACACTCTTTAATATCAGTAATTATGGGGGGCATTGGCATATCCTATACCTCATCTGGCTCGGAGAGCGCAAACAGATCCAAGCGATTCGCATTCCACTGCTGTATGACTGAACGAACTGCCTCGCGATCCAACATCTTCTTGTCATGTGACATGCTGTACAGCAACTGTGTCGTGAGGTGTTTTCCAGGGATTCCGGGGAAGGGGGAGGATTATTTCTGGAGGAGGCCTCTCCTCCTAGTCTCAGTGCTTTGGGAGAGTTTACTGTACTGTTGTGACTCCAGTGTGACTCCGTTGTGGTGTTTCTTGGTTTTGTGTGTGTGTGGTGCAGCTCCGACGTCTATCTGTAAACAATAAAGCATACGTTCGGATAAATTTAGATCTTTTTGTAGGTTTACAACTCTTCCAAGGAAAGAGCATCGTAAACAGGAATGGAAATGCAAATGGCAAAAGGTGGCGCAGATGTTGCAAACATTTGAATTTCCATTGGGAAAAAAGTAAACAGAGAGAGGCAGAAACTGATGGAGGGGAGAGTGGGGAGTTCTTGTGAGTGTGGATGTAGGAAAGTATGAATGAACTTTAGGGGTTTCGTTTTCAATGAATGAGGAAGAGTTCAAATATTTATTAGAAATAACTCTACTTTTTGGCACTTTTAGATCTATTTTTGGTAGTCTATATATTCCTATTAGATCTCTGTTCCTGCCTTCAACTGCCAAGAATTCAGATATAATTTATGATTGCTTGATGAATGTCTGTAAACCAATTAAAAGTTCCATTACATGATCGTATCTGTGTGGAAACCCCTTTAGAACCCAGCGACCCTCAACAAATAACTTCATCAAAGCAGAAAATTTCATTCCATTTGTACAAATAACATCACAAGATGTTTTTTGGGGCGTGTATCCCCCTATCTCTGTAACAGAGTTCACAGCACAGCAACAAAAGTGTTGTCAAGAAGCGGAACTATGCCTGAACTGAATACTGTTCCAACCCTCTCTGTCTTTCAGTCTCTCGAGGCCTCTCTCCCTGACTCTTTTGAGTTCTATAAACTTTTGGTCTTCTATCTGTTGGTATTCTTTCGTCTTCTTCTTCTTCTCTTCTCAGTTCTCTTCTTCTTGTTTCTTCTTGTTATGTTTTTGTTTCGTTTCTTATGTAGTTTAATAACCGTCAACGGTTCCGCTTGGGGGAACACGTCGCTGTCTCTACATGCAATATAGGGAGGGGTTCGTTCGTTCTCGAGGGTTCAGCAGAGCAGAGTCGCGTCGCTGCCCTGAGGTTGGGGGAGTACAATAGTTGATGAGGAGAACACCATTTAAGTAAAGCTATTTTCACAATTTCCTCTTTATTGAGTTCGAGAAGACGACGGCGATGGCGATGGCATTTCTGCTGTCAGTGAATTGCATTTCAAACTTTTGATATTCGCTCTCTCTTTCTCTCTCTTTCATGGTTCAAGAGGTTACGTTTTTTTTGCGCGGGGGTTCGTGGACAATTCCTTGCTGCATTCAGGCGTAACCATAGAAAAGGGGTTTTATTCTGATGTTTTGGTATTTTTTTGGTTTTCAAAATTCCGTTTTTAATGGGTTTCTACGCGGGAACAGGTACATATTTTGATTAGGGGTTGATATATATATATGTAGCCCCTGGAATGTAATGATGGATGAAGGGTATCGAAATGTACAAACTGAACTTTTGTTTTTGTGGTGTGGAAATACTTATAGCAGTAGCTCTTCCACAGAATTTATTTCCGTCACAGATCTAATCCCTTAGCTATCTTCCCTCGAAATATACCATTTATCATCTCATTCCAAATCGCATTTTCCCATAGTCATTAAGAGCAATCAGATCCTCAAAAAATGTGACAAATTATACAAAATGATGGACAAATAATCCCTGGTTCCGTTCCGTGTGTTCCATGAGTAAACAGAAATATGTAAATTATACCTCCCGAAAAACAGGGACAGCAACAGGGATGGGGGGAACAACAGGCACAACCTCTGTAATTGCGGACAACATTATTAAAAAGACATAAAGGTGACATTTACACCAACAAAAGTGTTGCTCTGCTGCTGCGACTGCGACTGCGACTGCGCGCAGACAGCAGTCAGCCAGTCAGCAGTCAGCAGTCAGCCAGTGCTCCCAAAAGATCGCAAGCAGAGATAATGGAAACGAAATAAAACGAGCCGGAAAACCGCAACAAAAGAAAAATGTCGCTTGCTTCAGAGGGTTGGGGAGAGACGGGGAGATCACGAGAGCGACTGTAACAGAAGTACCGCAAGCCAGCGTGCATAAGCAGCAGCAGCAGCAGCAACAACAATGCCCTGTCCATTGAGGAGGAAGAGAGGTGAATGTACGAAGACGACAACAGAGTGGAGCGGAGAGGGATAAGGAGAGGAGAGAGAGAGAGCAAACATTTCGCATCAATTGGGCGTCGCAGCAGCGCAGTCAGAGCAAAGCTAATAAGAAAGGTGTATTTATTTAAGGTGCGGCATTTCCATTCCGTGCCTCTTCTGCTGCTGTCAGTAGAAGAAACCAAATCTGAGACTATCGTGTGAGCTATCATCTCTAATAATGCCTCACCCTGCCCAAATACCCCACTGGCATTTTGCATCAATTGGGCGTCATCGCTGCAGAAGCTCTCACCTCTCTCAATGGGGTCTGGGACATGTAAAATTGTTGCTGGCCTAGGCATAACTCACACTACTCACTCACTCCCCACTACCCACTTCGTCTCTTCCACTCTCTGCGTGTGTGTGTGCAGCTGTCGGCTTGGCACCTGCAGCGCGGCAATAGACTTCACCTCACATCGCTTAAGCGCCTCCCTCCCTCCCCTCTACACATCTCTCTGCAGCAAAACTTGTTGCTGCTTGCAGTTTGTGTTTTTGTTTTTGTTTGCTGTGTTGCTGCTGTGTTTAAGTGTTTTTTTTTCCTCTTATTTGAATTTTGTTTCGGGGTCAGTGGGTTTGTAAAACAAACGGAAACGGCCAGAGGCTGGCAAGTAGTGTTCAAATGGGGGGAAATGACTAATCTGCAGTTCCTCTTTGCGAGTAGCATCCAGTCTAGAGAGGAAGCGACTACCTGAATGGGAGCTGCTATCTGGGGGCCACGCCTAATTGAAAGTCAATGGAAAATACAGAAGATGGCCAGCGAGTAAGACAGTAAGTCAAGTGCCCCAAGAGAAGCAACGGTAAATTGGCGGATCAGAAAAGCTAAGACCTAAATAAATGACGAGACAGAAAAAAAAATTACTTATTGGAAAAGAGTGGGGAGTGGGGGGGAGACTAGCTTTAGCCATGACACGAACCTTCGGCTTTGCTTTGTTTAATTGAATTGTTCTCTCCCTCCGAACCATCACTCTCTTCCATTTCCACCCTTCGCCCTTTTGTCGCTCTTCTGTTTTGCTTTATGCACTGCTTCTCCTCTGCTTTTCTGCTGTTCTGCTTTGATCTTCTCTTCTGTGGCTTCTTCTTTAAGCTTTAAAGCCAGTGAGACTTTTTTTGCACAGGCAGCAAAATGCAGAAACTAATGCAACAAAACACGAAATTTAAATACACTACACAGAAACTAAAAAAGTTCATAGTAGATGGCCTTATAAATATTCTCTAAGTGGAACATAGATTTATGGTTTATTCTCCATTAGTTATGGTTAAAAAATGCTACCTTTGTGTGATTCATTATGTGATTCTCCATCCGCATGCCTGAAGTTAGATGCTTTACATACTCGTATATGTATGTACATGGGTAGTACCCTTTCCCTCTCTCTTTATCCCTGGACTCTACTCTCCTCACTCTGGTAGTTTTGCCTCATTTCTTTTCTGCCATAATCCAATTTTACAGTATTTTATTTCTGGCGACATTTCTCAGCGCTTCGGATGAAAAGTGCTTTGATATTTCTCGCATTTTTTCTCTTGTTTAGTCATGTAACTGTTGTTGGCGTTTTATTGTTAACACTTTTGCTGTGACTATGCGTTGTTGCTGCTCGCAAAATAAATATGAAAACAATTTTCCCTTTTGCGCCAAACGAAAACCGAAAACCAAAAACAATAAACCGGCATAAAGGCGGCGGCGGCATACCACTGTGGTTGTTGACTCTTTTTTGCTTTTGCTGTTTCTGTTATTGTTGTTGTTAAGGGTATTATTTGTTTAACACTTTTTTTGCGTTCGCCTTTGGGCTTGTTGACCGCCAACGGCTGTTGGTAAGGGATGGCGAGGGGAGATGAACGGACGGGGAAGAGCTCAAAGAAGTTTCAGTTCCACAGACAACAACGGAGTGGAAATACATACATACATATGAATCTACATACGCATGTGCACAGTGGGATCTCTGTGAGGATAACTCTTTGATTAAAATTTTGCGGAAATCCAAAATGTTGTATCACCATATTTCTGATTAATGAGAATATCTTTCTTTAAAAACGCCATAAAAAATATGTCTATGTGAAAAAATAAACTAACTTTTAAATATATTTGGCACACAAGGTTAGAATTGCAGTTTCATGGGGTTTTACTTAAGAAATCGTGCCACTATATCATGCAAGTGACATGGGAACAACTGATCTTAAACAGTTTCCAAACCATCAACTTCTCAAATTTGCATTTTTTACTGGTTGCTATACAAATTTAAATATTTAAGACTGTATTTTAATGTATTTGTAATAAAATTATTTCATTACTGGAAAAGTATTATTGTGGAAGAGTCATACAAATATTGGAAAAATCAATTGAAGATAATCAAGTCCGCAAATATATTTAAATATCTAGAAATCCATTTACTTTTTTGATAATTTGATGGAAATCGGTTGTATATTCAACCTTTACTGCTACTTTCTGATGTACGAAAAATCTCAGAAAAAGAAAGCTCTCACTAGGAAGTATTTGCTCAGGAATCTCTGAGACGGTTCTCATTGCATAGAGGACACTGTACCTTTACTCAGAGTACAGTGAGTCAAGTTTGTTGTCATTGTTGCTGTTTTTATTATTATTTTCTGTTGTGGCGCTGCTTTTTCGAACTGCCGGACGGGCACGCTTAATTGGTTACTGGAATTGGGTTGAGAGAGTAATTTTTAATGAGCCCTGAATAGGAGGTTCATAGATGACAGGTAGGTGGGTGGCTGGAAGAGTGAAAAGCGAAGAGTAAAGAGTAAAAAGTGAGGGGGGAGCCGGAGTCGAGTCAGTTGAGTCAGCGCGATGTACATATGTGAAATAAAAGAGCAGAAGACACAAATTCAAAGCAGAGGAAGTTCCGGCTGGAATTAGAAGTTCGCTGATGAGGGAACTGTGACTAATTTTTGGGATGTTGTGAAATTAATTTATGGAATTATTTCTAGTAAAATTTTGAAGTGAAATT